AAAGAGTGGTAATTACAAGTCATGTCAAAACAGGAGACCAACTTGGCGATCTACTGACCAAGGCTTTGCCTAGCCCTCGACTCCAATACCTTTCTGACAAGCTGGGCATCTTCAACATTTATGCTCCAATTTGAAGGGGGCTGTTAGATTTGTTAAATATATGTATTATGTAAATATATTTAGTTGGGTCTAATTATGGGCCTAGCCCAAAGCAGACTAGATTTATGTACTTACATTATATGTAAATTAGTGTTGTTTTGAATTAATAGATATATGATATTATACGTTTCAATGATACAAGATTGCCACCAACAAAAATACAATATCTAGATGCGAACTATTTACTAGATAGTGATCCTGCCTAGTTGGCATCAAAATATCCAACTTATGTAGACAAGTGAGTTTGGTATTATTTCCCCTTAATCTGTAATTACAAGAGAAAAACTTATATATACATACAAAAAATGCCTAAAATATTAAGGTCCCTATACCATTCTAAATACAAAAATGACCTATATATACAATGGGTTTGTTTGTTGTGTTTTTGTTTAAGATATTTCTTCGATGCGAGGTACAGAGAACCATGTTGGTAATACAAAAAGTTAATATTTTATGTTGAATGTTGACTTTTTGTAATATGATAGAATATATACATTAGGAATCATATTGAGAAAAAAATGGTTGGACAAACAAACCCAATATATCTAACATATCTAACACTCCCTCTCAGATATTGAACAGAAAAATCAAATGAAGAAGAAAATAATTCTATAAAATTCTGTGTCATTTTACATGCAAGGATAGGAAGACATATACTAAATTTCCTAGTAAACATAAAAGGAAATTATCCTATATCTTATTCCACTAATCATGGGATCATCCTCTATCTTATCCCATGAATCATGAATATCTAGCTGTACAAAGGAAACAAGATATTTGTTTCCTATAATAAATTGATTCACATATATCTCCACCCTCCCCCTCAAGCTGCTGAATAGGTATTTTCCATTTCCAGCTTGGATACAATAGTTTGAAACATTGAGCTATTCAATCATTTTGTTAAAATATTTGCTCGTTGACCGGTTGTTGACACATAAGGCATGCAAATCAATCCATTGTCCAGGTTCTCTTTGATAGAATGTTTGTCAATCTCAATATGTTTTGTCCGGTCATGTTCCACCGGATTGTACGCTATGTTGTTTGCAGACTTGTTGCTGTAGAGTCTCATAGGCCCTTCTACTTAATTTTTAGGTCTTCAAGAATAATCTTTAACCAAAGTATCGCTGATTTATGTGATCATAGAATTCCATAACCGAGCCATTATGATAGAGTCTTCATCATCCCATGATTTAAATTTGGGATCTTCCGTCTTTGGTCCTGTCCAATAAAATGACTAATTTTTCCATTTTCCTTTCAATATCGCTTGGACGAGTTGAGACCATTTGAGGTAGTTTTTTTCCATTTAGTTTATAAGCAGACTGAATGCCTTGAAGTTCACTGTCATGTTGGACTCGGATTTCCTCCCCAGATTGTGTAACCTCCGGTGATTAAGACTAATGAACTTTGAGAAATAGTCCAGAAAACCCAACAATTAAGGTTGGCCGAACGGAGGAGAGAAAGCTTAGGAGAATCAAGAACAGTTCCCAAGAAAGAGCTACTCTGAATCTATCCTTTATCTTAGTTCTCAAAAATGGTGTCATTTTACATACAAGGATAGGAAGATTGATATACAAAAGTTCCTAGTAAACATAAAAAGAAACTATCTTAAATCTTATTTCATGAATTATAGGATCATGCTCTATTTTATTCCAAGAATCATGGAATATCTAGTTGTACAAGGAAACAGCAAATTTTCCAACAAATACAAATCGTATGATCCAAGTTTGTCGCATAGAAATTTAATTCAAGGGCCTCTAAGAGATTTAGTAAAAATATCTGCAAGTTGGTTATTCAAACAACATGATGGGTAGCAATGCATCCGGATAAACATCCTTCTTGAACCAAAATGAATTCAATCAATTTCTATATGTTTTGTCCTCATGAAATACAGGATTAGATGCAATATGCAAATGAAGTTTGATTGTCACAAAAGACTTTCATCTCTAAAACCTCCGTTATCATGAGTTCATGATGAAGCTGTTTTATCTAAATAAGTTCACATGTTACTAATGCTATAGCTCGGTATTCTACCTCTGCATTTGATCGAGCAACAACATTATGTTTCTTACTTTTCCATGAAACAAGATTATCTCCCACAATATCACTACCTTGAAGTAGAATGCCTACTAAATGGGCATCATGCCTAAACAAGATTTGAGAAGCCAATTATTTATGTGTGACCTTGACTAGTGTATAATAATTATCTATCAATAGACCTTTTTATGTACTTCGAAATTTGAATTGCAGCATCTCAGTGAGTATTGCATGGAGACTGAAGAAAGTGACTTACAACACTCACAACAAATGAGATATTAAGTCGAGTAAATGTGAAATAGTTAAGCTTACCAACCATTCTTCGATATCTTCCCGCGTCAATTAATGGCTCCCATGACCTAGAAGAAGCTTCCAATATGGATCCGTTGGAGATCTATTGGCTTGCAGTCAAATAAACCAATTTCTTCAAAAATATCCAATGCGTACTTCCATTATGATAGGACAATACCATCATGTGATTTAGCAATTTCAATACCAAGGACATACTTCAATGGTCCCATATCTTTAGTTTGAAAATGATGAAATATGTATAAGTTTAACTGGGTGACCGCTTCTTGATTATTTTCGGTATCATCAACATACACAAGAAGGTATAAACACTTGCCAATTTGATGTGTATTTATAAAAGACGGAATGGCCTAATGCACTTCGATTATGCCAAAGTCATGTAAAACATTGTTGAATCGACCAAACCAAGCACGCGGAGATTTTCTCAAATTGTATAGCGAATTACATAGTTTGTAAATGAGGCTAGACCCCCCTTTAGTAACAAATCCAGGAGGTTGCTTCATAAAATTTTTGTCTTAAAGTTTTCCATGAAGAAATGCATTCTAAATATCGAGCTGATGAAGAGGCCAAGAGTGTATAACAACCTAAGCAAAAAAGAGACATCGAAGACATCTTGCCAACATACGAGAACATTTCAATATAATCCTCACCAAAGACTTGTGTGAAGCCTCTAGCCACTAAAAGGGCCTTAAGGCGAGCAACTTGACCATCTAGATCAACCTCAACAACATAGGCCCATCGGTAGACCACAAAGAACTTGCCCAAAGGCAAAAGTACTAAGTCTCAAGTACTGTTAGCATATAAAGCAGTCATTTCATCCACTATTGCATGTTGCCGACCTTGCACTATTGCATGTCGCCAACCTGGATGAGAAAGTGCCTCACGAAAAAATTTAAGAAGAGAGATGGATAAGTGTGACAAATAGGTATAGTAAGTGGGAGACAAATGATGAAAATTTTAAAAAATGTAAATAGGATGTGGATTACGAAAAGAACGAGTACCTCAAGTTCTTTGCCAATTTTCCTCTCTGTGTTGCGATCCTAGTTAGTTAACTCACAAAAGCAAGATTAAATGGACGATGAGGAACAAATAGAGTAGAGTTAAGGGTACACATGATAATGGTTGAACATCAGTGACAACCGTAACAAAAACTTTGAAAACCATCTTCCAAAGTAACATTGTGTAATGAAATAGATTTGTAAAATTCAAAAAATAGTTTTGGATTATCAAGAATCAAAGACCCATGGTCCAAGAGATATACCAGTGTGAGCAGCGATAGAGGCAATTGATGAAGGCGACAATTGCTTCGAAGCTTGGTAAGATTGTACTCATAGTCTGAACCAGTTAAAGTGACAGAATTGGCTAACAAAAGAGGAGTTTCAGCTTGCGCAATAATAGCCTAAGGTGGCCGGCCATATAGCGTGAAACATTTGTCACATGTATGGCCCCATCTTTTGCAATGAGCAATAAATGACCCTTGTAAGAGACGAGAACTCTCACGAGAACCAAAATCACCACGCACAAGTGAAGACACTGTAGCCAGACTTGTCACCATAAGTAATAATAGGATGAGCAACAAATGACACACGTAAGAGATGAGAATAAGCATCATTAAGGGTTATAACTGTCAAGCTAAAAAGAAGTTGATCACGAACCGGGCTCAGATCAGGACCAAGGCCAACAAGAGGAAAGACCATAAAGAATGTCTAGTGCTGAGCAAGCTCTTCAGCAGTTGTCATTCCCCTCCAGAGGCAAAACATAATTAAGTTCAGCCTTTATGAACAAAAGCTTGCCTATATACTCTGGAATAGTCAATCCTAGTTGCCTAAAGATTAACTAGATAAGATGGTAATTCAATATAGTATTAGAGCAAAAGCTTCTGTGTTTGAGTCCCACTGCCACCCTTTGTGGGGGAAAAAAATCGTCCATGGCAAGGGTTGTGTGAGGTGAATCCCGCATGCATGTGAGGGGGCGTATTGGAAGACTTTAGTAGATAATGATGCATTTCTTTATCAACTTATACTTTTAGGTGAGATGTCCTTTTAACATACACAAAATAGAAGCATTTGGCATGTTCAACATTGAAAGTCGATATAGTGTACGAAATAAAACTTCTTGAGTGTAAGCTGAAGGATTTCTACAAGCATATCAAAAGATCTGAGTGAATAGACAAGTTTCTTGAGGCATCACCAAATCAGAAATATGAGGTCCTGACGTGATAAAGGAATTTTTGTGAAGGATCAAAGCTTGTGAATTTTCTCCCTCAGGAGTGGGAATGGGAGTGGGAGTAAGGTTGGGAGTGGAAGTGGGAGTGGTGGGGCCTTTCTGGAATGATGAATGAGAGGTTTTGCCTCATTTTTCCATAATCTGTAAATTAAAACAAGGGCTTACATTGTAACAGTGCATTGCTAGGATCAACATAATTGATCTATTGAATATTTGGCATGAATAAAATTTTTACTTAGTTTCTATGTGTAATTGTTGTTACTTTATTGCAGGTTCAAAAGTCTGCTACTATCCTCCAACAGTTGGCCGCAATATGCAGTTTAAGTGAAAGAACAAATTGGAAAGTTTTCATCTCCTGGGAAATTTTACAGAGATGGCTTTACTCTGCTGTAAGTCTCTCTCTCCCTTTCCCCCTTGCTCCATTACTTATGTATTACAGCTGATTATAAACAAGGAAGTGTTGTCAACCTGCAATGCTGCTTTCAGACTATCTTTGAGTCAGTGTTCTATCCGTTTATCTGTGTTGGGGTTGGCAAACTTCGAAATCTAAATCTTTGATTTGTCATGCTACTTTCTCTTTGGGAAACTTGAGTTGTCGAAAACCAGTAAAAATTAAATTTGGACAACTTGAAAAGGCGCAGCAGTTTATCAAGCAGTTTTCACGTTAGAAATTTAGAAATTATTTAGTTTTCAGTCGAACATCTTTTAGTGAAAATACTTTTGAAGAGTCTACAATCTTCATCTCAATTACTCTACAGGCATTAAAGTCTATCATTAAACTGCTGTCTCACAATTCTAAAACATCAATCAAAGTCTTCTTGTACTTTCTCGGATAAAAAGTTTCGAAGGAAAGTCTCATTTTTTTTACTTTATTGATCAAAAAAATTCAAAATATCAGCCCCATTGAGGTTTATGCACTGAATTATAAAGTTCCAACCTGTAAATCATGTCAGCTTTCTAAATTCCCGTGTAGTAATTTAACCCTTTTTATTTTTTTAAAACAAATATACCCTCTCAAGTGCTATGGCCATTATAGATTTAAGTAATGGGCTAGTATAGTTGTGTTGGGGTCTTATTTAGCCATTTCTGTGAGTTTTTTTTTTTTTTTTTCCCCTTCTATTCCTTTTCCGGAATTCAGCCAAACTGAATTTACTTTGCTTATTTCAATGTGGCTAAGCCTAAGGTGGCACCTATGTTGTGGTGAAACCATATGTGGAGGGAAGAAATCAATCTTGTTCTTATATTTGAAAGAACAGAACAGATAGACGGAAGCTATGGCCAATCTTATAAATCAATGCTATTGAAAGCTTATGCATGATGTTTAGAATATTCTGATGGTTCTCTTGAACTTCTGGGCATTGCTGAATTTCAATTGTTGATTGGATTAAACATGGAGATTTATCTCATTCTGCCTTGAATTGCTTAAATAAAAATATGAACTTGATAGGAGGTTGTGCTCAAGTAACAGCAGGTGAGAGGTGTTGATGTTTTTAGAATAAATTTTAATCAAATGAAGTTGCAGCTGTCTGAAATATTCCTATTTGAATTTCCAATAGTGCTGTACGTATATATAAAAATGACATTTTCGGAGGTGTTTCAGTTGTGGATGCTGCCTGCGGAATATCTAAAAGATGGTGAAGTTGAATCTCTAGTGCCCATATGGGTGAAGGCTCTGGTTGATGCAGCATCAGATTATCTTAGGAGCAGGCAGCAATGTGGAGAAGGCGAGGATCATGGGCATGGGCGTGGTTATATGCAAGGGAAAGGAGGACGCTTCCTCAAGCGCTTACTTAGGGAATTTGCTGATAACCATAGGAATATCTCACAGTTAACTTGATTTGGTATATTTTCCTATTTAAAACAAAACACTAATCTAATGCAGCAATTAGCAAGCAGGCAGGCATCTTGGCAAGCTCGCTCTGTGCATAGTCAGTCTAGTAGCATAATAAATAAATATGACAACACACTGCTGTTGAATGAAAGTTGTTTATTACCACTAGCACCCCCCCGACCCCACCCCACCCCACCCAACGTTCCCTCCCAAGCAAGTGGAAGGTAATCTCAATTTTGTCAATAGAGGAGGATTCAAATCAAAAGGGAGGGAGGGAGGGATTTATACATTTATTCAATTAAGTTGATGAAGGTGTGTGTTTGTTGGAGGATTGGAATTTTGTAGCTGATTTATCCGCCTGCATGAGTACTAACTACTTAATGCTTAGCTTCGAATGACAAACCCCTTTTACAAGTGGACGATGATGATGATGATGATGATGATGATGATGATGATGCAACTACATACATGTTTGTATCCGTTACTAATAAAGAGATTTGTTATTTATTCTTATTGTCTGCCGCTGTTGTCATACATACACATTTGACGTTGTATTGAACGGAGCAGTAGTGTACATAATATAATATAACATATATGTATATATCAACAACCAGCCCAGCCTAGCCTAGCAGTACGACACTGATAATTGATTTGTAAAACATAATGATTATTAGGAGAAATGTCATACACTGGTGGCAGGTCGGGGCAAGGGCGAAGGCCGAGTTGTGGCTGGACTGATTGCAGGTTCGTTGTTGATGTTGGTTTGCATAATGCAGAGCAGAACACAATCAGAGGAGGATTGGCGGGGAAGGGAAAATGTTATGCAGAGCTGAAGTTGTAATGAATGAACCACGACCCAACCCACTTCACCCACCTCCTACTCGATAATAATAATAATAATAATAATAACAATATGTGTATGTTATGGTTTTTGTTCTCTAAAAGCAACAAGAGACCGGGGCATTTTCCATCCATACCATACTCATCTCATCTCATGATTGTTATTACCATTACTGTATAATTTTGAGATGTCATGTCATGTCATGTCATGTCATGTCGTGTCATGTAAGAATAATTAATTGTAATTAATCAATTAATTAATTGAGTTGTTTGTTGTATACATATTCAACAGGTAGTGTAGGCCCTGAGGAGGCATCCCTTTTTTCTCTCATCCATGTATAATAAATATTGATTGTAGTAGTTGATGCCGATGCCGATGCCAGCCAGTTGGGACGAATCTCTCCTCCTCTCACGAGTCTGTCTGTGTCTCTCTCTAGCAGCCTCTCATCAAATCTCCTTCCTTTCCTTTCCTTTGTAGTTTGTAGTAGTAGAGTATTGTATTATACTATTCTTTTCTGGAATCCAAACATAACAGAGGAGCCCCCCTTCCCCTTCCCCTTCCCCTCCGCAGCACAGCACAGCACATCACATCACATCTCTTTCGCTTCACTTGTATTACCACATTTCCTTGATTGATAATTCTTTTCTTTCTTTCCTTCTTTCTTTATTTCTTCTCCTTCTTCTGTACACAAGGCAAGGCAAGGAAGGGATTTGGTGGGGAGTTATAGATCCTTTTGCCGGCGCGTTATCTTTGCCACCAACAAGGCAAGGCCACGTCTCCTCCTCCTCCTCTCCTCTCCTGTCACTGATCTGATGATTAGTTAGTTTACAGACGGAAGACCCTCACACATGGCCAGATGACATAAATAAACGACTGATGAACCAAATAAGGATGCTGCATATCGCCTCTGCCTGCCACTGCCACTGCCAGTCCAAGCTCTGATATAGATATACTCAATAAGTAATTCTCAGCCAGCCAGCAAGCCCTGTGTGTGTATGTATGTATGTATGTATGTGACCTCCCTCTACTCTTCTTCTTCATTCACCGCCAAAATCATCAATACAAATACAAAGACCATTGAGAATCAACTTTTCTGTTTGTTTGTAGGCTCTAGCTATGAGCTTCACTTCATGATTGCTTGCTTGCTGTGCTGTGCTGTGCTGTGCGGTCGGTCCAAGTCCAACGATGAGCTGTTGAAGACAAGTGGCTCCCCGGCCGCCTCTCTCCTTCCAATTGCAGAAGAAGTACAACTACCTATTAGATCCCATCCATCAATGCTGGAATGGGGATGCCCCGATCTGAAAATGTTTTGGTGCCAGACCCACTGGATCTCTTCTTCTCCCAAACACTGGGTGGGTTCGGATGCGATCTTCCCTTTATATGTTCTGTTCTGTTCTTATTGATCTTTTGGTCGGTTCGTTCCAGTCCTCATTATCCTCACCCCCGCATCCTGATCCTCTCTCTTTTTCTCCTTTTTTTTTTTTTTTTAAACTAGATTTGTGCATAATCTGAATGAAGTTTCTGTTCCATGGTCCATGCGTCGTCGCGTGATATTCAGCCCTTTTCACATCCACAAACAAAACAAAACAAACCTGTAGCTGAGGTGAGGTGCGGTGGATCCCAGTCCACAAACAAATGGCGACGACTCTTGCAGCAATTTTAGGAGGTGCTGCAGGAGGAGCCGTGGCATTGGTGGGGATGATTATATTAGTGATCTGGTGTCGTCGCTCTTTTCACGGTAGGAACGTTTCTCGAACATCGGAGACAGGTTCCTCTGATCCATCTGTTCAAGGTAACTAACTGTTCATGCGCTGTGGCAGTGCCAGTCCAGTCCAGTCCCGCTGCATAGTGCATATGACTGACTGACGGTGAGAGCATTGAATTGAATGTTGTGGTGCAGTTGGGAGGATTGAATTTACTGTCCGGGATGCCAGGAGATTTGAGATGAATGAACTGTCATTAGCCACAAAAAATTTCAGCGACAAGAGTTTGATAGGGCAAGGAAAATTTGGGGAGGTGTACAAAGGATTGCTTCATGATGGGATGCTGGTAGCAATTAAAAAACGACCTGGCAACCCCTCTCAGGACTTTCTTGATGAGGTACTCACCTACCGAATCTCAATTCAATTCTCCATCATCATGTATTGTATTGTATTGTATTGTATTGTATTGTTTGTGCTTTTAACACATCTATTCACTCATTTCTGTGCTTGTTTTAAGAAGACATAATTATTCTCCTTCCTTCCTTCCTTTCTTCTCATTTTCTCTTTGTTCTTGTTTTACAGTTTGTAACATCAAGTTCCTATGTGTTTCCATCACTGACTCATTAATCGAGCCCCCATGCCCCCTTTCTAGAAAAATTGCTGCGTGCATTGGCTGCAACAAATAAATAAGTAATGGCTTGATGAAAGACTGAGTTTGGCTGGTTTTCTTATCAGGTCCGGTATCTTTCATCTATTCAACACCGAAATCTGGTCACACTTTTAGGTTGTTGCCAGGAAAATGATGTACAGATTCTTGTCTATGAGTACATTCCTAATGGAAGTGTTTCTTTTCACTTGTATGGTAATGAGTTTTCCTCCATTATTTCTTCCTCCTCGTCCTTTGTGAGCAATATGTATCCTATTTCATTTCCTAATCTCAGGTGCAGGTCAGGTTTCACAGGAAAAGCTTGAATTCAAGCACAGGCTTTCAATAGCTCTTGGGGCAGCTAAAGGTGATCCTCTGAAACATCAGTGAGCATTTTTGGCTTTCCTGGTATTAGTTTATCTTCTTATATGTTGCCAATACTAACATTATACAGAAGATGACAGCTTGATACTTGTGTAAATTCCCGCTGGACCTGATATTGGTCTCTGCTAGTTTGATCTTTCACATATTGCATGGTAATTAATTGCTTTTATGGTATCTTCTCTACCATGCTTTTTTTATCTTCTTATGTGCAGGTTTAGCTCATCTCCACTCCCTCACTCCTAGGTTGATACACAAGGATTTCAAAACAGCAAATGTTCTTGTAGATGAGAATTTCATAGCTAAAGTTGCAGATGCTGGGTTGCGCAATTTTCTTGGAAGATTTGATTTTGCAGGTTCATCTTCTCAAGTGGCAGGAGATGAGACTTTCCTTGCTCCAGAGTAATAATAATAATAATAATACGCATGCCAGTTGTTAGTTTGCTTACATTAATTACATCTTGGCTGCTAGGTGTTATTAATCATGTTTGTTTGTGCTGTGCTGTGCTTGTGTAGGGTCAGTGAATTCAGACGATTTTCAGACAAAAGTGATGTTTACAGTTTTGGGATATTTCTCTTGGAGTTAGCTAGTGGGCAGGAAGCAAGAGCCTTGCTGTCTTCAGATCATCAGAATCCAATAGAATGGGTAAATCAAATGAACCTCAAAGCCCTTTCCTTTGCTAAAGAAAAGAATATGGTTGGTAGTAATAGAAGACATTATTCAATTAATATTGTTACGATGTTGTTTGTTCTTCTTTGCAGGTGCAAAACCTTGAGGATTCTGGCAGCATATCTTCTATAATCGATAAGAGATTGGGCAATAGTTATACAAGGGAAGGAATGGATGAGTTGATAGAGCTGATAGTGCACTGCGTCAACCCGTCCAGTGAGAGGCGCCCCGCCATGACCTATGTGGTAACTGAACTGGATCGGATTCTTGAGAAAGAAATGAGCCTCACAACAATCATGGGAGAAGGAACTCCAGTTGTGACCCTGGGAAGCAAGCTTTTTATGGCTTCTAAATGACACACTCAGTCTCTGTGTGCCTTGCCTTATATTGTTTTTACCACCATACTAAAAACACTTATCCCCCTCCAACTGTTTGACAATTGTATAAACTACAGTTGGATTATTTTATTTTTTATTTTTTCATATCCTTAAAAACTTGTCAATTAATGTGCCTATAAAACCTTACTAGTCCCTTTTTGTTATTGTATCATTCTTTCAACCATCCATCATATATATATATTGAAGTATGAAGTTTGGATTGGACACATTGTAAAGAGATGGAATTTGATTCCTTTTAAAGAGTTTAGGGATGTGGTACAGGGTAAATTGCATAATTTCCATTTAAAATACATTATAATAAAATAAGATTGAATATATGAAACTTTTCTTCTTTTTTTTTGATGACATATATGAAACTTTTCTATGTGTGTGGATAGGGATATTGTTGCAACCTGCTTTGCTTGAATTGCCATTTGCCAGTGCAGCTATGTATGTATGAAAAGAAGATGGAAAGAAAACTAATACGTCCTCCGTGGCTTATGTATGTATAACCAAGCAAAGGAATCAAAGCAGTTGAAAAAGGGAATCATCAAGGGAAAAGACAAATGACAGAAAAAATGCCCAGCACATTATGAGTTCAAACTCCCGACACGTCTTTCAAGTTCGCATAGTATAACTTGTCTTGCCGAACTAATTTGTCGGATATTAAGTTCGGCGGAGATTTACTCATAATGCACTCTTTCAAATAGAAGTTGCAGATTTTCCACGTTATAAAAATAAATAAATAAATAAATAAAAGAATGCCCAGTAGTTGGTATGGTACCTATTCAACTATGCTATGCACACCGCACCAATGACATCAATACCACCTCAAACCGCAACATCAACAAGTTGTACATTACCTTTGAAAATAAAAGAAAATTAAAAGAAAAAAGAAAAGCGTTAGTTGTTATGTTAAATCATAGAAATATGGCAACAAACCTAACATGGACTAACCTTATTTATACATGCAGATTTTCTACCAAGTCAACCAACCCATCCTCATTTATCAACCAAGCCACACTGAGATATCTATCACAATGTCAACCATTCACTTACAACTAAACCACTCCTTCGATACAAAAAGAACAAACAAAAGCAGATTTTAAATTGTTAAACAAGCAGAAAGCACAAGACAATGCATCATCACAACACCATGAGAAGGAACCTAGCCTACCTATGATAAACAAAGCAAATCCCACCTCTTCTGCAAACGACAAAAGTTGCAAAATGTTGACGACAAATCAAGCAGGAGCAGATCCTTGTTTAGCTTTAAGGACAAGTTCTTCAGTAGTTGTGCCAATGATCTCATTAGCACGCTTTAGGCCAACACAATAATACCTTCCAATTGTATCCTAATATCAGGATTACAAACAAATCAGTTCTGAAGCCTGAAAATAAATTCCTAAATATCAAAAACTAGGTATTTCAGCAATATTCTTTCTTTTTTTTTTCTTTCTTTTTTCTTTTTTAAGTCAAAAGTAGGCCATTCTTACTATATGTGACCAGACTAGGGTAAGTCATTATTCAAGAAACTTCAACACAAGCTCAAAATGTCATACTGAAATAATTACTCAAATACAATCACTTTGGAAGTGCTATGAAGTGGAAAGTAGAACTTATTCCATAATCTCAAATCATATTTAAGATTCCCTTCAAAACACATCAAATCTGATGATAAATAGGTTTTATAAGCACAAAAAAGATATCTGAGGACTACTAATATGAATCAAAACAAGCTGAGCCAAACTCACCCGACAAACTATTCCTAATTTCTCCAATTTGTGTACTGCATCATCAACATCGAAATTGCAGCGTTCACCAAACTCATCAAGTATTAGTTCTTCACATTGTTGGTCAAGATCCTGTTTCACATCATCAGAATGTTGAGATTGAAAATACACAATGAACATGTCAAGCTCAATAGTAATGCAAAAGGTAGCATGTAATGTACCAGCTTTACATACCTCCAAAGTAGCTTTCCCTTGTTCCATCAATATAAAAAATGAAATGATTACCTCCTTTACCTGCATATTTGCATGATTAGTAATTGCCGGTACATCTATTAGCAATTTTAATTTATACTACACGCATACAGACACTCAGAATATCCATGGTTTTAGGAGTGCATATCCATACATGCTCAGAGGGCAACTAAATTATTTTAGAATCTGAACTACCTCTACTGAATTCAGAGAAAGCAAAACAACAATTTCAAAGCATTACAAATAATAATAATAGTAAAAAAACAAAAAAACTGTTCACCAAAGATTAATAGCATTATATACAGTTGCATCAAACCCCTATGAAACTAAGATGCATTTTGAACAAGGGTACTTCTGTTTATTTATGTTTTCAACTTTGTTTTTGCACTAATCATAACAAAATTCCATCTATAAAAAACCCCAGATAAAAGGCTTATCTTTTTTTTAAAAATATAACATCAAAAATATATTTTCTATTTAAAGCATCACATTCAACACCTATTTTCCATTCAAGTTTTACCTATTCCCAATACAATCCAAAACATATATAAAGAAAAACTACTAAAATTTCTTACTTCTTGCTGAATTACATCATCGCACAAGTGAAGAAGGGTTCCCCTTCCACTATCCAATTGTTTGTCGTACATTGATTGTGTGATTAGGTTCTGGTATGTAGCCATATTTTGTTGAAACCTGGCAGCTTAACAAACTTCAGTGACAGCAAAAGTGTCAAATCCATTATTGCATGCATGCAGTAACATCAAATCTGATGTAGAGTGTTTATCCAGAAGTATTGTTATGAACAGTGCAATTCCACATAAATTGAGCTTCTCATAAAAGTTCCACAATTAGATGCATCATAATAAAATGTCATAGGAAGAAATACTTAACGTGAAGTAAATCTTAGCACAATAACCAATCACAGTTGACAGTATTGCAAACATGACCCAGAGATCAGCTTTTGGCATTTCAACTGATCCAATAACAGCAACCTGATAGAGCCAACAGAACATAGATGTGTTAAAATTAGATTTACCAATAAAATTTACCAAAATATTACAAGTGCAAACAAGCTGACGAACCAGTCCAACTATTGCAGATATAAGAAATTTAACCCAGTCCATTGGTGTTAAACTTGGATTTTTCTTTTCTGGCTGTCAGAAGAACAAGGAAAGTCCAGATGTGGTTAATAAATACAAGAAAACAAACTTTGCAGAAGCTGCATCAAAAGAAAATTGAAATGGCTTCTTTGGGGATGAAAGAACCCTACAAGTACAATTTCCATATCAGCCATAGGAATGTTTCTGAAATGTTTCACATATATGCCTCTTTCCTCTTTCCTTTGAGGACTTGCTCGCCTGCATGTATACATTTCCAATTAATCTTTAGTAAATTTAGCAAAAGAAGAAATAAAGTTTGGTGACTAATTACTAACAAAGCAGGACCTGAACAACTAGCCAACAAATTGCACACACCACGAATGGTTGAAAATTTCCCAAGCAATGTGTATTTAATATTCTCGAACATACAGGTGCATGAGATCAGCATGAATTACAAGTACATCAGTAAATTTTTAAACTACATCAAGTCACACAAGCAAAAAGAGACTGGAAGACAACAGACAAGGAAATATAGACCCAAACTAAAGGAAAAAACCAGACAAATTGAAACAGAAATCTCAACACTATACGATATTAAGTTGGCAAATTACCTGTAGACAACAATGATCCTATCAAAAGTTGGTTCTTGAATTGTAATCCGACTTGACAGATTACGGGCACTGGAGCAGAGAAAGTTTAAAGGCATTAATAAGATGAAACAGATCAATACCAAGATTATAACAGCTGAAAACAAAAAGACCCACAAGAAATATAGATATTATGTTTGACAAAGTGACACACTTAATAAAGTCGCAACCTTGATCCTGGTATAAAGTCGCAACCTTGATCCTGGTTTTTGACCAATTTGAAAATATTCCGACAGAATGCACTAGGATTTATTTAGTTCTGATGTAGATTGCTTGGTGCATGATCCACTCAAGTTTCCAACGAAAAGTAAACTTCTTGATGTGATGGAATGGGAAAGCCAGAGTAAACACTAAATAAAAATAATGTAATTGATGGTTGGTGCCACAATAACAGAAGAACACTATAAAACCTGAGCTCCATGTTCTCGAGACGAATACGTTCAACATATAATGCATCACCATGTTCTTCAGAGCTAATTCTGTCATCTTTCTTGGGATCCTTCTTGGACCGTTCTGATCTCCTCGAGAAAACCTTTTGCAACCTGCAATTCAAACCATACTACTGGCTTAGAATTTGAAGCCTAAGTAACATTTCTGCATAAAACAGAGGAAAGTTACACAGGGTGGACGAGGAAGCAGCAATCAAGAGAATAACAGTTGACTGATAATGACCATCATTAAGATATAAACAATCCATTCTGTCAAGCTCAAAGTTTTACCGCATGCCGCTCACCTTGTCTTTCTCAGAATCCATGCCCAGAAACGTGCAATGATCATATCGACTTTCTCCATGAAAAAATAATCTGTGGTCTTATCAATGCCAATTCCGCGCCGAAAGATTACATACTAAAATAATAAGGAGAAATATGAGTAAAAGTCAGCTCAATATCATGTTTTAAAATACCGCAAAAACAACCATACATATCATTCTAATGAAACAAGGTAAGTACTTATTCTTTATGATTATGCAAATTTTCAAAGCATGTGGTATTTTTATAGGGGTTATACAGTTTTACAGAATCAACCAAACAATCCTGTATCACATTATGTGGTATTTTATTCAAAATGAACCTTCTAAATAACCTATTTAGTTCACACAAAGATGCTTTAAAATCTGCTCATATGTTCATTCTCCATTGAAATATGTAAGTTCATTTTAATTGTCTCCTTTGCTTTTCAAATAATGTACACACATTTTATTTAGTATAAGAAACACATCTCGTGTGCACGAAAGACATTTTTTACGCCGGGAGGATAAAAATGAAAATGATAATGCATGAAATTAAAGATGAAATTTCAATGCTGCATTTGAACATGTCAACCATATACAAATGCAAATAGTTGGATCATTCTTGTCTGCCTTGTCTCAACAATATTATACAGATCACCTTAGAGTATGTTAATAAAGATTGCACAGAAACTATCAGTCAACACAATTTCAAACTCCATAAACAATTTTAAAGTAACACTTCTTTGGTTACTTTAATGCTAATAAAGTTACTTCAGTTCATACAAGGATGCTTTAAAATCTGCTCATATGTGCATCCTCCATTGAAATATGTAAGTTCATTTAAATATTCTCCTTTGCTTTTCAAATAATGTATGCTTTCCCGATCAAAAAAAAAAAAAACTTTAATTCTATTAAAGTAACCCAGTATAATTTCCAGCAAGAATTATGGCTATATGTGTCATCATAAAAAATAAAAAATAAAAATAAAAATAAATAATAAAATAATAAAATAAAAAAGAAAGAAAGAATTATGGCTATTTATGACTGCAGTGTTAGGATAAATGGGTTTAATTTAGCAGGCCACGCATACCTATTATTCACTATATATGATACTCTTATATTTTTGTGAGATTTCATGCCAATTTCCAGATTTAGTGATGTATTTGAAAGCAAGTGATCTGAAAATCTTATCCAAAAACCATGTCTTATAGAATTTCCACATTTGTGAGTAGTCAGAAACAGGAGAAAGAGGTGATAAAGATACCTTATCAGCAAAATCCGGGAGGTTCTCTTGAGGATGTGAATCAAAGTAACTCTTCAAAAGTTTTTTATCAAGCTACATTGAGCAAAAATAAATGTACCAAAAAAGAAGAATGATTAAAGAAGCCAAGAAGTATGCCTCTGTACTTATCATAAAAATTGATAATCTGTACCTTTGAGTTATCAACTGTAATGGGGAGATTGAGGAGATACTGTCCTGAATGAGCAACATCGATCTCTTCATCAGTTACTATCTTAAAATTGCTTTTTTCCATAACCTGCACAATAAGGGGTATAATTCATCAATGATAATAATAATAATAATAATAAAGGAGAGCCGACACAACTGCCATCCACCACAAGATGCAGTAGATCAAGAGCCTAAATGTCCAACAAGCTCAAAGTAATCAAACTGCTGGAAGTACGTAAATCTAATCAAATTGGTGTCCTAGAGGGTGTCTGTAGTGACATAAATAAGAGGTGATACACAAGAATACGCTAAGTTTCAACGGAAATGGAGTAACTGGACATAGGGTAATGGTTGAATATGCTTTTTCCTGAAAAGCAAAATAGGGTTAAATTACTACCTGAAACAAGTATTTCAAGAAGTTTTGCTCAAGAACATCAACTTCATCTGAAGACAAGTTCTGCTGCTCCAACTTTTGGGTACCATGGACAGGATCAAAAAGCGAGTACAGTTGCTGCAAGCAACCACATTCATATCCGATATATTATATTATGCTTGAGGAGAGATTGGTGTATATAAGAGCCAGACTAGAGAGGAGTTTAGATAAAATGATAAGATATATTTGAAAAAGGGGAAAGAGGTTACCATGAGGTCCTCAAAGTGCAGCATGTACCAAGCTCGAATTGTGTACTCCACTCGCTTGCAGAGTTTCAAAAAGTCAGCACGATCAGAACTATGCTCTGCAGAATGTCAAGGGGACGATGAGATGGCAAGTTGGACGTAATTGAGGAAAGGAAGCGATTGTTGTATTGTGTGATATTAGCTTAGTTGAAAGTGGAGCGAAAAATCAAGGCTGGGGAGCGAGCAGGACCGAAGGAATCCTTTGGGCTAAAGGGGAGAGAGAGAAAGAGAGAGAGAGTACCAATGAGGTTAGCCAAGTGCACGATCAGCCTGGGCTTGAGGATTGGGATAACAGATTCTCGCTCCATCCTGATGACATCTTTGTTTGTCCTCGGCGCCGACGTCATCTTCGTGTTCTGCTCCATCGGCGTCACCTCCTCCCCGTCCTCCTCCGCCTTTCTTTTTCCCTTTCCCTGTGCGGGCATCTGTCGTGTCGTATCGTTTATTAGGAGGGAGGTAGTGTACAGTACTGATAATAACAACAAATAAGGAGGGGGCGGGGGCGGCAAGCACACAACACAAGTACAAGGACGGTAACCCCTCGATCATACGAGATCCGATCCAATCCAATCAGGAAGAAACAGAAGCTAAGCTGCCTGCTCCTCCTGCGGATCCAACCAACGATTCATTGATTAATTCAGACAGACTATAGATAAATAATAAATACGCACACAGAGAGCGGGATGATGAATATCTATTACTATACACCTATTACCAAATATTACTACGAATATTACCTTTTTATTATTATTATTATTATTATTATTCTTCTTCTTCTTCCCGCACTGCTGCTGAATTTGATGATAAGGTGACGACAGTAGACAGATACAGATACAAACAATAATAATTGATGACGACGATGATGATGATGCCCTGCTTGCTATATTAGGAGTTATATGAAAATGTAATAAAGAGAGAGTAATAAGATAAGATGATAATCCGTTTGCTGTTATCTATCCATCTGTCCTCCCTCAATTTCATAACTGATCCCTCTTCTCTGTCCTCTCCTCTCCTATTATATTAATAGATGAAAAATGAAACAGCTGGAATTGAATAAGAAAGTAGTAACCGTCCGTCTCCTCCAGGCATGCATCTATGATCTATCTATCTCCATTCACATTCATCAATTAGGCAACTCTCTCTCTCTCTCTCTCTCTCTCTCTCTCTCTCGCAGTGCAAGCAAGGCATCTACTACTTTGGGGGATTCGAATGATCCCTCCCTCCCTTGACCCAATGTCCATCCATAACAAACCAAATCTAATAATAATAATAATAATAATAATAATAGTCTAGTGGATATGGATAAGTAACTCCTACCCGGTGGTTCCCCATTGCTTATTTATCATCTCCTCCTAATCTACTATTTATTACTATTACTGCTGGAGAATGTGTTTCATTTTTGTTATTAGGCAAAATAGCGAAAAATTTCATGTGGTTTTTCGAAATTGCTAAAACCCCCCGTGTTCTAAAACTCTAAAAAATTTACTTGTGGTTTTCCGTTACGATTTAACGGCAATTGTATATCACACACCTGAAATGCGACTTTTGATCCATAAAGTGACATTTCTATATAAAATTACTAAAATACCTAATGACTTCTTCCTTATTCTTCTTCTCCCTCGTTCTTCTTCTTCCTTACTCTTCTTCTTTCTTATTTTTATCCATATTTTTAGAATTTCGTCTCAATTTATTTTTTTTATTTAAAATCCGCTAAACACAAATAAAGAAGAAAGAAAATTAAAAGAATTGGAGAAAAAAATAAAGAAAAAAGAAAATTGGAAAAAAAAAAAAAATTGGAGAAAAAAAAATTGGTGTCCAACCCCTCATTTTTCGAAGAAGAATTGGAGATGAAGAAGAAGGAAAAAAAATTGGTGTCCAACCCCTCATTTTTCGAAGAAGAATTGGAGATGAAGAAGAAGGAAAAAAAATTGAGGGAAAAGAAAAAAAAAAGAAGATAGTGAAAGAATGAAAAAAAAAAATAGAGAAAAAAAATGTGTGAAGAAGAATTTGGGGAATAAAGGAAGATGAAGAAGAGAAGAAGAATGAAGAAAGAAGAGAAAAAGAAAGAGAAATAAATTAAAAAATATATAAATAAGGATATAACTGTCTTGTTAGTCAAATTTAAAAAGAGGGAAGAATGTGCAATATTTTGAAAAGCACAAGTAAATTTTTTAGAATTTTAGCAGCAAATTCATAAAATCACGGGGAAAAATTTTGCTATTTTGCCTTGTTATTAACAAAATGCATGCCCGCTGCTGTCAGTGCCTCGTTCCTCCAACCAACACGAACTTAAACCTCTCTTCTACAGAACCCATTCCAATCTTCTTCATCCTCCCTGCTGCTGCTACTGCTATTGCTATTCATCATGTATCATAAATAATAATGCTACACAATTACACCCCACCACTGCACTCCTCTCTCCCTCCACCCTATTATGTACCGCCCACAGCACAACACAGCACAGCGCTCACTAGCCATTGGAAGCAGACAAAATACAAAAGTTACCATCATTGCGTTCGGAAAGCAACAAAAAAAAAAAAAAAAGGTTACAAGATAGATGGATAAATCCAGCCAGCCTGCCAGCCAGGTGTGTGTATTTAAAAGGGACAGACAGCTCTGCACGCCTTCCATCCATCCACAACCCCTCTTCTTCTTCTTCTTCTAAGTTCTAACTTATATGCGCAACAACTGAACTCTTCTTCACCCTCCCTCACCACCCGCTCCAAGCTTCTCCCCTCCTGCAAGGTAGGTCAGGTCAGTCCGCCCTTGCCGGCTCAACAAACTCAGAAGCCAAGGTATGGAAATAGTGTACCACAAGTTATGCAGCTGGATGGACTCCTACCTCCTCAACTTCCGTAGTCTGCTTTTACCCTTGGCGATGATTATTCCACCATCTTAAAAAGGGCTTGCCAATAGAGCCCTGCATTCCAGAATTCTGCTGTGGCATTCCAATCCATCCAAGGTTATTATTCATCTTAACACCAGCACTGATGGCATCTTGGCTGCCAAAGTAGTTAAGTCGGTTAGGTGACTGTTGTAAGAAATTTCTGCTCAAGGGAATCCCACCGTGGTTTCCGTCCTGCACCAATAGTTCAGCTGGCCCCACCAACTCACTGCTGGCCTGTGGCCGTAGCTCATTGCATTCGGATATGACACTAAATAGAGTCTGATCTGAGCTACTTCCACTGACAAAGTTATGGCCCACTCCTACAGCGATCTCAAAGGAGGACCATCCATTCTCCCCTGTACACCAGTTTGAATTCAACTCACCGCTGCTCACATGAGATTGGGATGGAGCCACCATACTTGCTTTAGTGCCACTGGCGCTTCCCCAATCATGAATATTAACAGGTAGTTCCTCCTGCCGAGGAACAGCAAAATGCCCTCCAGAATACACAGTCTCCTGAATGTTCTGATTTATATACACATCAGTTGGTCTCTTCTGCCTTGGATCCAGTGGTATGGATGGATGATGCTGATCCCTAAATTCAGTAAAGGGACCTTCCTCCAGTATTAGATCAGTACCAGGCTGGAAATCTAAGCCAGCCTGTTTTTGTTGATGATGGTATGACATATTATTGCTCTGACCCTTGAAAAAAGATTGCAGCAGTTCATTTCGATCTTGAGTAGAGTAAGAACTAAAGAAAGGGATGTCCTCAGGGAGTCGATGGAGCATCTCATTCCCAGCATCTTTACCCCGACTATTATTTTCAAGATCAAGAAACCGCTCCTGCAGAAACTGTGGGTGCCCAATTGCCAACTCTTGGGAAGGCATATAACCTGCATTAGCTGCAGTGGCTTCATTATAGGAACCACGGACATCCAGAACTGGCCAAACGTCACACACAGATGGCAGTAGAACCCCCTGGTTAACAGGAATATCCACATTGTTCAGAATCCCCGAGTACTGTGATAACATTGGAGGATCCCCATTTGTTTTGGCAGAAGTATTATCACAATTGGATTCAATCTTCATGGAATTGCTGTGAGGATTGCAATTAAAAGAGCTAATTGGCTGTTGATGCTGGTGCTGGTGCTGATGCTTCCGTAAACTGGGATTAGGTGGTGTTACTATTGTACTCCTGGGGTCGTTATTAAGAGAAGTACTCGGCTTTCCATTGGGATCCTGAAAGAGCACATGGCTGGGCACATTGTCATCCTCATCCTCCATGTTTCTTGTTTGGGGATGAATTTGTTGCTCATATATATTGCCAGTTTTGATTTCCTTTTCATCCTAATCATCATTCAGAGAACACCAGGAAAGTCAATTTCAAAGAGTATTGAGGCAATGAAATTAGTCAATACCAGAAGCCTGAACAGAATGGAGCAATCATACAAACCTTCATTCCTGTGAATATCTTATGAACTTCCCCTTCACTACCAGTCTGTTCCTGAAGTAAGTCATCTGTCAGCTCTTTCTCTACACACTGAGCACCAAAACAGAAACGGAGAAATCCATGACAAATTGGTCTCTTCCAATGTAATAATTCAAACCAGATATATTCATGTATCAAGAAGCCGGGGCAGATGATAAACCTCAAATGTGTTTGAAGACAGAATTTCTTGACCCATATCATCTGAGAAACGCATCCGCTTGTTATTATGAAAATCATGTTTGCCCCCATCCAGAGAAACCTACAGAGAACAACATATTTTTTTTGGAAAAAAAAAAAAAAAATGCATTTCCTCAATCCCTGGATAAAAGTGTAATGAGTTTAATCAACATGGAACAAGAAAGGATGACATCAAACCAACTGGTGCCCCGGCTTTTGTGTCAGTTCTTCATGCAGGGAACGTATTACTCCTTGTCTCTGAAGTTGTCTTTTCTCCCAGTTAGAAAAACCTTTCGGAATCTCTTTTCTTGCCAATTTCAACCTGCAACATAATTAAAAGTCCATGACATAACAAAGCTTCACCGTTTCACTGCAAATCCAAAATATTGAAATAACTAACCAATGATTGTGCAATTTATTTCTAACTTCTTCCTCGTATCGTTCAAACGGTTGTATGTTCAGATTATCAATGCAACCTAAAACACTGTCTAGAGATTTTGGCTGAATATTATTACCAGCATGCTTCATGCAGCTTTTAACAAGTTCATGCTGTTCCTTGCTGACCTGCAGAACTTAATGCAGTAAACATTAGCTGTAATAGTAAAACAAAAATAGCCTCCGAAATGAAAAGCTGACAAAATGGCCACTTTGCAGAAAAAAAAAAAAAGAAAACACTCCAAGTACACAAATAGAGAGCTACTCTGGAACAGATGGCTTTATTATAGGCGAGGTCCTTAAAGTGAACGAAAAAAGATAGATAAACTAGCTTTCCTAAAAATTAAGTGATCAACAAGTGAAATAAAAGTAATCCCAGTGTAAACCACCTTAATATAGGACATATATTCCGTCCCATCAGCATTATGAATATTACGCTTACGTATCTTTATCCCCTTTTTCAGTACGGAAGTTCCCTTCAGTTCATTGGAGCGATCAGTTCTGTTGCTGAATGAGTACTTTCTGCATATTAAAACATGGCATAGTTTTAAGAGCTTCAGCATTTAATTCAACAAACTGAAATGAACTGTCCCAACAGCCTAAGCCAGCAAGAAATACATAGATGATCACATATATAGAAGTCTTTCTAAGGTACATTGATAGAGATCACAGAAAATTAGAACAAAGCACCTTCTTTGAGAATTTTCATGCTTCTGACTGTCACTGCTACAAACCACCTCAGAATCTATATAAGAACAGGACTCAGATGTTGCACCAAGGTGCTCTTCAGTACCATAGGATCCAGTTTCAGATGGGAGCATGCTTTGTCCTGCGTGCTTCCTAGAAGTACTGCATTAGCAATTTTGAATAATTTTCTCGAGTCAACAACAAGGAAAGCAAATTACAGCACAATGCACCTAGACTTGGACAAGATACGGATCATCAAAGTAAACAAACATTTATAGAGAATTTAATAATTATGTCAGCAAATAAAACACCACTAATGCAATGTTCTGAGCAGTATTATTCACATGGCTAGAGCTCAGAGGTGATGAATATGACATTCAGAAACATGGCTTGGTTTTGTTGATACGGGTTCTATCATAAGCATATGCATTTGGATACAGCCGCAACATATACAACAAACACACATGGTAGGGCTATGATGGTATATCTCTCAAATAAGCCACTAAAAACCAATCATGAACTGCTAGTTTTACAAAATGCAAGAATGGGAAGTTATAAAACAAATAAGTTGCAAGGGATCTCAAAACGTCGGAGATCATCCTATTGGACACTGCTTAATTACTCAATTGAGACATTCATCCTGTTAGATTCGTATCTCTATTCATATCTATATCCATATCCATATCCATATCCATATTCATATTCATATTCATATCTACGATTTAATTGGATTTAGTTTGTTTGGAAAGATTTTTAAATAGCTGTTAGAGAGCAACATCAAGATGGGCAAGGAATCGAGATGCAAGAGGAAGAGGAGCCTCGGCCATTATTGGTGTATCGACGACAAGGACGGGCTTAGACCTGCTATTCGCAGGTTTAGACTTATTTACTTATCTTTCTGATTAAGACATTATAATTGGATTTGGGCTTAGACTTTTATTATTAGCTGGACCTAGTTTATTTTTAATAAGTTAGTAGGAGTATTTAAAAAGGCAGCTAAGGTTTGAATACATTATTATTGATTTGAAGAAATAAGGAGCCTGGTGGCTTTTGGGCAGACGGTTGTTCCGTTTGATTGTTTTCTATTGCTTGTTTATGTGCTCTATCAATTGGTCCGACCTGCCGAATCCCGATCTCGTTGTCATGGCAACAACACGATCTACAGCAGAGCGACTGGACAAACTTGAGGTTGATCAAGCCGAGATGAAGGAGAATATGAAAGACGACTAACATCCAACTGTGTGAGATCATGGCGACTCTCACTGAATTCTCGAAAATGATTTTGACACCCTCTGGATCGCAGCAATCGGCGATAGGCCACTATGGGGAGAATAGCGCGACGACGGAGGGAGGCACATCGCCGCCCCCTCACCTCTGCAACCAACACGGCTGCCCACGGCCGCGGTGCCACTACAGCCGGCGGTTGACTCCCGATTGCAGTCGGGCCCTATGCAACTTCCATTCTTTTAATGGTTCGGATCCGATAGGATGGTTAGCCCGCGCGAATCAATAGTTTGAAATTCATAACACAAGTCCGGAGATGAAGGTGCCTGCAGCAGTGGTGGCTATGGAAAATGCTGCATTATACTGGTCAACCTGGTTACGCTCGCGCAAACCGGGACTGATATGGAAAGAATTTTCGCAAGTGCTGGTAGCGAGATTTGATACACGCTTTAAAGGGAGTCCCTTCGAATGATTGGCAGATATTAAACAAGAAGATCTGTGGACAATTATGTAACATTATTTGTTCAACTGGCTAGCCAAGTTCCGGGTTTGACAGATGCACACTACCTCGGATACTTTATGAAGAGCTTAAAGGATTTTATCCGAAGTTCACTTCGTCTTTTTAGACCCGGGGACCTCGATACAGCCATGGAATTGGCTAGGGATATTGAAGATAATATCGAGGTGCAGGCTAGTGGCCGCGCATTCCGAAGTTTCAACAGTCAGGCATCGCGCGCGAACCTCATATCTCGACCTAATCCCTCGAAAACGAGGACATTTAGAGGGGGGAGCCTCACCGCATCCACCGGTAGTATTTCCAAGCCTCCCGATCGAACCCTACCAGCACAGCCAATGACGACCAGCCAATCGATGAGCCGTGCCTGATTTACTCGCCTATCACCCCAAGATTTGGCTAATCCGAGGGCAAAAGGGTTGTGCTTTCGCTGCAAGAAACCATATTCACCGGGACATGAATGTCCCCTTAAACAACTGCGATTCATGATTGCTGAGGAGGGAGAAAAGGACTTGGACCTTCAACAATATGAGTACTACGAACCCACTGGACAGGAAGAGTGGTCAGAAGAACAAACAGATGCACTTAGAGAAGAGAGTACTTTACCGGTTTTCTCTATGGCGGGTTTATCAAGTCCGCGGACTATGCGCCTACTCGGGGTTATGCAAGGAAGGACAGTGACAGTATTGATTGATAATGGTGCTAGCCATAACTTTATATCATCTTCCTTAGTATCTGACTTGCGACTACAACCCGACCGTACAGGAAAATTTGGAGTTCAATTAGGGGATAGCGGAGGCAAGAGTCTGCAGGAGTGTGCCGGGATATTACGGTCTCCTTATTCGAGTGCGAGGTAACCACCGACAGTTTTGTATTTTCACTTGGAGGGGTCGATATTATTTTGGGCATAGCCTGATTGGCCACGCTGGGCGAAGTTCGAACCAATTGGGAAGCCCTAACGATGTCATTTGAGCGGAAAGGGAAACGAGTGTTGTTGAAGGGTGACCCGGCTCTCTGTCGCAGCCCAATAAGCTTGAAGATGTTAAGTCGAATTCATGGGACTTAATTTTGGTCGCTTGTGTTGGAAAATGAGCCTATGAGAGCCATAGAATCAAAAACGGGACAGCTCGAGGATATCCTACAACAATTTACAGAGATATTTGAGGAGCCACAAGGTTTGCCACCGAGACGGCTAACTGGCCATCGCATAGAGCTGAACCCCGGATCAAAGCCGGTATCGGTTCGACCATACCGATATAGCCATATTCAGAAAGATGAGATTGAGAAATTGGTGAGCGATATGCTAATGGCGGGAATTATTCGACCAAACTCAAACCCCTTTTCCTTCCCGGTTTTACTAGTTAAGAAAAAAAAACGGAAGTTGGCGTTTTTGTGTTGATTACAAAGAACTAAATAAAGTAACGATTCCAGATAAATATCCTATACCAGTAGTTCAGGAGATGTTGGACAAGTTGGCAGGAGCGGTCATTTTCTCGAAAATTGATTTGCGGTCAGAGTACCATCAGATTAGGGTGAAGGCTTGTGACATCCACAAGACTGCATTCCGGACCACAACGGGCACTATGAGTTTCTAGTGATGCCGTTTGGATTGACTAATGCACCAGCTATATTTCAATCGACAATGAACGACCTATTCAGGCCATTCTTGAGGAGATTCATATTGTTTTCTTTGACGACATATTGCAAGACGTGGGAGGAACATCGAGAGCGTTTGACGCAAGTTTTGCAGATTCTAAAAGACCAAATGTTCATTCGGAAGTGTAAAGGTGAGTACTTGGGCCATATTATTTCAACAAAAGGTGTTGCCATGGATCCAATAAAGATGAGTGCAGTGGTGGACTGGCCCCGACCCCGCTTGATCCGTGAGGTGCGGGGATTTTTGGGAGTAACTGGATATTACCGACGATTTGTACGAGGATATGGCATTCTAGCTTGACCGTTGACTACATTATTAAAGAAAACAACTTTTCCATTATTCGCATGGACACCAGAGGCCGAGATTGCTTTTACTAACCTTAAACGGGCCTTGACCGAAGCTCCCGTACTAGCCATGCCTCAGTTTGATCGTCCTTTTGTGATCGAATACGATGCTTTTGGCATAGGAATTGGTGTTGTTTTGATGCATAATCGACGCTCTCTTGCCTATTTCAGCAAATCGCTAGCCGACCGAACTCTAACGAGATCTGCATATGAGCGTGAATTGATGGGTCTCGTGTTAGCAATGCAACATTGGCATCCTTACTTGGTGGGGCGGAAATTTATGGTTCAAACTGACCACCACCGTAGCCTCAAGCATCTACTTTCTCAAAGGATTGTGACGCCTTCACAACAAATTTGGGTAGCGAAGCTATTGGGTTACAACTTTGAAATCGAATATAAAACAGGAATTTCTAATGCCGCCGCAGATGCTCTATCCCGTAGAAATGAAGATGGAACTCTGACAGCATTAAATGGGCCGGAATGGGTGGGACTGACAGATGTCTTGGAAGAACAGAGCCGTGATGACCATATCCAAGGCATTATGCAAGCAGTATTACAACCAAAAAGTCGTCCGGGTTATGAGGTGCAAGGTGGTCGATTATTCTTTAAAGGGCGTTTGGTGCTACCTGCAGATTCGCACTGGATCCCTCGCCATTTACATGAGTTTCATGATACTTCCTTAGATGGGCATACAGGGGCATTGCAGACATATAGACGTTTGGCTATGAATGTACATTTTAGAGGCATGTTTCGGCGTGTACAGGAGTATGTCTCCGGCGGGTTTACTACAACCCTTACCGATACCTAATCAAATTTGGGAGGATGTTTCCAAGGATTTTATCACTTGCTTTCCGAAGTCACGAGGATACACATCAATCATGGTGGTTGTTGATAGACTATCAAAGTATGGACATTTCGTTGCCTTGAAACCACCGGTGACTGCCGTATGATTGCAGAGGCATTTCTCCGTGAGATTGTACGACTGCATGGCATTCCACGATCCATTGTCAGTGATCGTGATCCTTTATTTGTTAGTGCCTTCTGGAATGAACTATTTACACGCTCCGGAACCCAATTGAAATAGACGGCCAGACAGAGGTATTGAACCGGGTGGTGGAGACATATTTACGTTGTTTCACTTGTGAACAACCAAAACAATGGGTGCGATGGCTGCCGTGGGCAGAATTTTGGTACAACACCGCTTACCAAACAGCAGCCCGGATGTCCCCATTTGAGGCAGTCTATGGAAGAGAGCCGCGCACCATTCGACAATTCTTGCTGGAGGAGTGTCAAATGGCAACGGTGGCAGAGGTGTTAAGCAGTCGAGATGTGATGATCAACCATCTTAAGAAAAACCTAGAGCATGCCCAACAGCGGATGACCAAGTATGCGAACAAGCAACGCAGGGCCGTGGAGTACGCAATAGGCGATCATGTTTTTCTGAAGGTACGGCCACATCGACAGACATCCGTAGCACAACGACCATATCACAAGTTAGCTGCCCGCTTCTACGGCCCTTTTGCAGTAGAAGGTAGGGTGGACCAGACAACATACAAGCTTACCTTACCACCATCTAACCGGATTCACCCAGTATTCCATGTATCTCAATTGCGACGTGTGGTAAGGGAGCATCCTGTGGCGTCAGAATTACAAAACAGCTTGGAGTTTCCAGTAAGTCCAACCTTCGAACCCGACTCTATTTTAGCTTGGCGAAATGTGCGAGTAGGCCAACGCGGTGAAGATGAAGTTCTAATTAAATGGATGGGGCAACCAGACGATGAAGCGACTTGGTTGAGCGTGGCTCATTTCCGGCATTAGTTTCCAGACTTTGACCTTGAGGACAAGGTGAATACGAAGAAGGAAGGAATTGTTAGAGAGCAGCATCAAGATGGGCAAGGAATCGAGATGCAAGAAGAAGAGGAGCCTCGGCATCTATCGACGACAGGGACAGGCTTAGACCTGCTATTCGTGGGTTTAGACTTATTTACTTATCTTTCTAATTAAGACATTATAATTGAATTTGGGCTTGGGCTTGGACTTTTATTATTAGTTGGACCTAGTTTATTTTTAATAAGTTAGTAGGAGTATTTAAAGAGGCAGCTAGGGTTTGAAGACATTATTATTGATTTGAAGAAATAAGGAGCCTAATAGCTGGTTGTTCCGTTCGATTGTTTTCTATTGCTTGTTTATGTGCTCTATCAATAGCTCTATATATATGTATTATTCCCTTCTCTTTTATTATGAATGATATAATATTTTTTCTCTATTTCTCTAGATAGATTTTTAAATAGCTCTTTCTCTCTCTCTATATATATATATGTATTCTTCCTTCTCTTTTATTATAAATGAAATAATATTTTTTCTCTATTTCTCTACATGGTAACGTAGCCAATTAGGGTTTAGATAAGGCTCTATATTTTCTGGCCTAAGCATGTCACCGCCGCTGCCAACGCCAAATTTTTTTGTTGGACCCTTTTGTTTTTTTCCTCGTGTCTTACTTCTTATGGCAGACTCTTTAAGTCAACTGGTACTAGACGTCTACATTTGAGGTACACCTACTGTCATAAGAATGGCCATACTAAAGGATGTTGCTATAATTTTCATGGACTCTCTTCTCCTACGACAAATACAATTGCTGAATGAATGTTCATCCCTTAGCTCCATTACTATAAGTCGTGCCGATTATGATGTGTTCCTTCACTAGTTCTGACACCTCTTCTAATGCACAGACCTCATTCATCGGTATTTCTCAATCTACACGAGGCTCCTGGGTTCTAGATTCCCGATCATATATATCTGGTAATCCCTATTTGTTTTATATTTTTCATCCGTCAAACTCACTAACACATGTCACTCTGGCTAATGGTGATAAAGCATATCCTCAAGCTATTGGTAGGGTTTGTCTATCACCTAATTTATCTATTGAGTCCGTTTTTTACGTACCAAAAAGTCCATTTAACCTCATATTTGTTAGTCGACTTAATAAATATTTAGATTGTTCTATTTTATTGACTAGTAGTTCCTTTGTTCTTCAGGCCCGCTGCACGGGCGGACGATTGGTACCGGACATAAGTCTCATGGGCTATATTACCCGAATAAGTCTCCTTGTCTATCTTCTACTTTTGCAACTGCCTTTGTTGAGTCTCTTGATATGTTCCATCAACGATTAGTTCTCATCAATATCTTCATTACCATGTGAGTCATGTGGACTTGGAAAACAGTATCGCATTACTTTTCCAAAGCGCGTCAATAATAGTACATCTGAACCTTTTGCATTAGTTCACTCAAATATTTGAGGTCCTTGTCGTTTTAAGTCAAGTCTAGGTTTTCAATATTTTGTTACTTTTATTAATGACTTCAGTCGGTGTACTTGGGTTTATCTATTGAAAAACATGTCTAAATTACTTATTATATTCAGAAACTTTTGTGCTAAAATTCATACACAATACCACACCTTATTAAGGTCTTAAGAAGTGATAATAGTATAGAGTATTTTTCCCACTCATTTGGTCTTCTCAGGAATTATTCATCAGTCGCCTTGCCCTTCCACCCTACAACAAAACGGGGTGGCTGAGCGCAACAATCGTCATTAAGTAGAAATAGCTTGTACCCTTCTTTTACATTATAATATCCAGTTTCAGTTTTGGTCTGATGCTATCCTTACAGCATGCTTTCTTATTAATCATTTCCATCTACTGCACTAAGTCATAAGATTCTCATGTCTTCAGCCTAATGTGTCAAATGTGTTTTTCTTAGGTACTTTCAGATTAAAAAAAGAATATCGATGTTATTCTCCTTTCACTAGTTGATATTACTTTAGTGCAGATGTCACATTCTTTGAGTCATCACCATACTTCACATAGTCATCAACTCTGTCATCACTACTTGTGACTCCTATTCCAATGGCCCTCATTCCTAAGCCTCCACTTCAGGTCTATAGTCGACATACATGGCAATGTCAAAACATACCTACTTCTCTATCACATGCGCCCATTGATGACTCATCTCCGGTTCCGTCATCTTCCTCGGTTGCGACTCCACCGTCACCTGTCATCTACGTCGAGATACTCGGTCCACTCGCAATCTTAACCCTGTCTATAATTTTTTTAGTTATCACCGTTTATCTCCTTCCATGTGTAGTGTTATGACTGCTTTAGACTCTATCTTTGTTCTTCGCTCTTGGCGTGAGGCTTTGGGTCATTCAGGGTGGTGTCAGGCCATGGTGAAAGAAATATCTGCTTTGCATGATAACAATCTTGTGAGTTGGTTCCGTTGCCACTGGAAAAAACACCCGTAGCTTGCCAATGGATTTATGCAGTCAAGGTTAGCCCTGATGGTCACATTAATCGACTCAAAGCTTGACTTGTTGCAAAGGGCTTTACTTAAGTATAGGGAGAGAACTATAACGGAACCTTTTCTCCAGTTGCCAAAGTGTCTTTTGTTCGTAGTTTTCTTTCTATGGCAGCAATGCGTGGGTGGCTCCATCAACTTGATATTAAGAATGTCTTTTCGCAAGAAGAGGTTTATATGGAGGAACCACTTAGTTTTGTTGCTCAGAGAGAATCCGGTCTTGTATGTCGCCTCTATAGCTTGAAACAGTCTCCACGGGCATGGTTTGGACACTTCAGTCTTGTTATCCAAGAATTTGGTATGACGCAATGTTCATCTAATCATACCGTATTTTTAAGCGCTCTTTAGAAGAACGATGTGTTTACTTAATTGTCTATGTTGATGACATCGTCATCACTGAAAATGATATAAATAGTATTACAAAGTTTAAGGAACATGTACAAAAATATTTTCAGACCAAAGACTTGGGGACCACTATGGTACTTCTTAGGAATTGAGATTGCTCAATCAAAGAATGGTGTTATCCTATCTCAAAGAAAGTATGCTCTTGATATGTTGGAGGAAGAAACAGGTATAAATGAATGTAAAGTTGTGGATTCCTCTATGGATCACATACAAAGTTGCTTCCTGGACAAAGGGAGCCATTGACTGATGTTGATGTTGCGATATAAATAGGCTGGTTGGAAAGCTTAATTACCTCACTATCACCCAACCAGATATATCATTTGCCGGAAGTGTAGTGAGTCAATTTATGCAGTCTCCATGTGACTAGAAGACATTTATGTGTATTTTGTGGTATATTAAAGGGTCTCCCGGAAAAGGTTTACTTTATACAAATCATAATCACTCCGAAGTTGTTGGATATTCAGATGTTGATTGGACAAGGTTTCCAGTCGATAGACATTCTACCTCTGCTTATTGTGTATTTGTTGGAGGTAATCTAATATCTTAGAAAAGTAAGAAACAAGATGTGGTTACGCATTCTAGTGCTGAGTTGAATGTCACGCTATGGCCTTAGCTACATGTGAGCTTCTTTGGATTAACCAATTACTTTGTGAACTCAAGTTTTGTGATGTGACAAAGATGAAATTATGGTGTGATACTTAGGCAGCACTACACATTGCATCAAATCCGGTATTTCATGAACGAACAAAGCATATCCTAATAGATTGTCACTTCATCAAAGAGAAAATGCTACCTGGGTCTATAGATACTAAATATGTGTCCTCAGATGATCAACTTGCAAACATATTTACAAAAGCTCTTAGAGGTCCTAGAGCCAAGTCTATCTGCAAGAAGCTTGGATCGTATGACTTGTACGCTCTAGCTTGAGAGAAGTGTTAGATTTGTTAGTTTCGTATCTATATCTATATCTATATCTATATCTATATCTATATCCATATCCATATACATATCCATATCCATATCCATGATTTAATTAGATTAAGTTTGTTAGGATAGATTTCTAAATAGTTTTGTATATATGTATTTGTGGAATGAAATAATATTTTCCCTCTATTTCTCTACACATCCAAATTTTACATTTCCCCAAGAAATTACAAGGGAAGAAAAGAAGCACATAAGCCTTCAGCCCTGTGTATAAATAAAAATAAATTAAAAGAAAAAGAACCAAACTTAGAAGTTTGTAGATTATGGTGCTGACACCATAAACAAAATGTCACGCCAAAGCAAAAAAAGGGCTTATACAGAAAAAAACCTCCACATATGCTGCTCAATTCCCACTCCAGGATCGTTACAACTAAGCCAGCTGGTCTTCCACATTTGCAAAATCTCGATTATACTTGCAAAAAATCACAAAACAAGTTTGTGTAAGAACAACTTCAAGAACAGATAAAAAGGTATTCATCATAGAACAGACAGACAAGTTAACTGTGCTATGCATACTCATTATGATATTTTTGCAGATGTAAGTAGTATGCCTTCTTGGCAGCTTTGAGTTTCTGCCCCTCAAGAAGAACATTATCAGGATGAAGCTTCCCGCTACATAGTGATTTACCCCTGTCCATAGATAGAAACCAAATCAAGTCAATGCATGCTTACAGTTACAATAGTTCATTTCCTCAGCTGAGTGAAAACAAAACACTTTCTAACAAAAATGTAGGGAAACCAATTTTAAAATAAAATAATTAAAGAGGTACCAGTAGAACTAAATAAGAAAATGAAAAATAAGGTTAGTGTTGGGAAAAATATAACAATGAGCAAAGTTTTATCCAGTGAACCATTCTGATGAAGATTTCTACTGCAAAAGCATATTTATTTTTTTTTTCATAATTTTCCAATCTATGATGAGTGAACTAAATCTTACATATATTTCAACAATGTGAAGTCATCAAAGTCATTAAAGCATGTTAGAAATTTCGGGGGAGAATAATGAGATTGTCTTATTAATCGTCAAAATAAGGGGTCCATATATAGGCAATACAAAACAGACTCGATATACTCAAATCTAGATACAAATCTACTAAATCTAAAATTGAATATCTAAAATATCTTAACAAAGCAAATAAATATAAAGGAAGACGTGTGAAAGGATCGTGATAATGGCTATCCTGAAAAATGCGTAAAGGTCAATGATATGAAGTATTTCCTACTGCAATACCTTCACTAATCTCGCTGTAGTTAAGGAGAAAAGAAATCAGAAGGCCGCCATCGGAAGAGAATAACTAACAGAGTAAAAAAGTGTAGCAAAAGATAAATAATATGCATAACATCTAAGCAGAAGTGACAATAGAGCGCTAAGAAAACTAGTAAAACAAGACACCAAACTCTTAGCCATCTGACAAATTAAAAGATGGAGAGCACAATCACTGTCATGAAAAGTCACAATGCGGTGCTAATCATTGTCATAAATACATTCTGGCTCCCTAGCATCTGATACCTCCCCAAATTAGAATGAAACCAAATTCAAAAGCTCGCTAAATAAACAACCTGAAGAAACGTAATCACAGTAAAAAACACACCTATAATAATCACCAACATAGAATTGACCACTCCAGAAAAATTCATTCCCCATTCTCCTTGAGTAAAGAAATATGAAGGAAAAAATGCAGTCCCCATTCCCCCCAGGTAAAGAAATATGAAGAGGAAAAAAAAGAAAACAAGTGCGAAGAAAAACTAAAACGTGAAAAGCTATATCGATAAGTGAAAGAACAGTTATTAAAACAGAACAGGCTCTGTTGCCTAGGACTTAGATTGGATGCAAAACTGCTGGCATACACAGATCACCGGAAAGTAGGTCAAAGCTCATTAACAAACCTATACGGTGCACCTAAACAATTACAAGAGGGTCAAACAAATAGCAGCCACTAAGAAAATAATTAACAAATGTAATTTAAGGGAGGAGGGTTCCAGGGTTATGGGCAGAAATAACAAAAGACATAAAAACATCTGCCATTCAAATCATGGAACACTGATAAACAGACAGATATCTCTTCAAAGCAGCATTCAACTATCCAGTGATATCAAAAGAAAAGAAAGCATAGCAGCACTTGCCATTTCAAAAATGGATTTCCAAAGTGGAAGTTATCTCCCGCAAGCAAATCTCTAACAGTTCTGTCAGGATCAGGTTCTTTAGGTACAAACTGGCAAAGAAAGTTTCTTTCCTTGTCAGACAAGTATCCCTGCCACACCTGTCAAAATGCCAGTCAGAAAGGATGCATCTCATAAAGAAAATGGTCTAAGAAAGCAACCGATATCAGAATAACCAAATAACTGTTACCTCATACGAGAGAACTTCTTTGAGATTTTCTATATCAAATATCTCCTGAGGTACAGAAATGACATCAGCCAATGTGCTGTGGCCATGAGAATAGGGCTCAGTGAATGGAATGATGTGCCTTTGTGCAATACCAATCTGATCCCTTTTGGACACAATTAATTTCTTACTCTTGTCCCATTCAAGAGTGATATTAGGTCTCATGTTCAGTTTATGCTGCTGAGACTGAAACTTTTTCCTATTTAACTTATACTGCTCACGAGAAGTGCAGGCAATAAAACTGGAAGCATTAATACGCTTCTTTCGCTGATTGGCTGCCATTTTCCAGCCCAAATATGTCTCAGGAGTCCCTAATAGGATATATGCTACTCGGCCAGAGAGATTGCTTCTGGGACATACAAGATCAAATGAAAGTGAAGTGGAGAAAAAATTGCTATAGTTCAAGTTGCAAATAAATGTCTAAGATAATGAAAACAAATTACATCTGTGCAAAATATATAAAGCTTGTGGCTCTTCAATACATATAAAACACTGAGGTGCAATTGGTACAAGGAAGGAACTTGTGCATCAATGACCATTTCCGAGATCTTATGTATCAACTAGAGTGTAAACTTGAGTTAGAAAATGCATCAAGTGGGTAAAATTGGGTAGACTCAAAAGGGAGTCCTTGGTGTTTGTTTGGGGGTTTGGATTTTGAGTTGAGATTTGAATAGTAAAAATTTTGAATTTGAATAGTTGTATGATGTGACATAAATAGGTGATGATGTGATGTTTTAAATGTAAAATTGATTTTTAGTATAATATAAAAAATAAAAAATAGGTGTTTGATTTGATGTTTTTGGGGGGAAAATTTTGGATGAATAGTGAGATTTTGTCCAAATCTCTCAACCGAACACACCCAAAAGGATTGTCCACACAATAGCGCTTGGCAATTAGGTCACTGATAATCAATAATTCACATAAAGCAGATGGACATAACTAGTATTCCTCCAATCAAGTAATGAACAACCGTCTCAAGAATTTGTAAGAGGCAATGTTTTGACTGCATGCAACAATTGACTGCAGTTTGCAGTTTGCAGGAAGGAAGAGCAATTCAACTGAAGTTAATAGCAAAAGAAACGGTAGGAAGCATGACAGACGGCGGTGTAGGAATCGCTCAACATAAGCACCCAAAAAATTACAGTACAGTCGACGGAGATATAAAAATTGAAAAATGAGATAGAAGAGGAAAGGCCTAAAACTTGCAAAATATATCGGTAAAAGTACCTGAAAGCATAACGCAGAGCCGGCGTAAATCAATAATCTGCAAAAAGAAAGTAGCAGCGAGGAGGGGGTGAGGAGATTGAAGAAGATATAAAGAAATAAATCGAGAAGGGGCGGGGCGGAGGCGGACAGATGCCAGCAAACAAATAGCAGTGAGAATTAAAGCAATAATTATTACAATCAGCAACTACTTACTATAAGAGATGGAAAGGGGGGGAGTTGGTTGTATATAAATATTATCCGAGAGGAGGAGGAGGAGGAGGAGGAGGGGGAGGAGATAAACAGAGGGAGGGAGGAGAGTGGCGCAGATACAGATACAGATACTCATACGCATACACACGTCAATGCATACGTATGCGGTGGGGTTATCAATCCCTCTACCAGGTCCCTACCTGCCCTGCCCTGCCCTGCCTGGTATCCACCACCACGCTTCACCGCCACCCCTCTTTCCTAGTATGCACCACCACCACCACCACCACCACCGGCCGAGGGAACAGTAGAAGTCGCAGTCGCACACTAGTCCGAGTGAGTGTCCTCCACTCCAATTCTAGGGATTTTTGCGTTCTTTCCTTCGCTCCAAAATATTACCGTCCACATTATTCCATCACTATTTTTGTTTGATTTGAAGGCTTTGTTTAGATAGGAGATATTAGGTGGTTTTTGAAATTTTGAAAATTTGAAAAAAAAAAAAATTAAGATATTTTGTGGAAAAAAAAAATATATTTGATATGATATATTTTTTTAAAATAAATAATATCAAATGAGTAAAATGTGTTACGTAAACAATGCCTAAATATTTGATATCAGACTTTCTATTTTCTCATATATAATTTTTTATTTTTAAAAAAATATTTTATATTTTAATTTTATTTTAAATTTATAATTCTTTTTAATTTATATTAAATTAACTAATTATCTTAATTTTAAAAATTATTTGTATTATATATCAATTAATTTTATTAATATATTATTAAAGAATCATAATATAACATCATGAAGGGAGTGTAATTTTTTAAATATTTTTATTTATATTTTTATTAGATTCTTATTAAGATAATAAAAAAATATATATATTTTGTTCAAACATTTATTTTTCTTTAAAAAAAAATTATAATATTTTTATTTTTAGGAAATTTGTCTACCTTAAATATATTTAACAAATATAAATTAATTTAATTAAATTTTAACCTCGTAAATCCACTCAAAATCTTTTTATTTTAAAATTTTATTTTTTTATAAAGCTAATGCTAATGGTAAATAAATAAAAATATATTTCTTATTTATTTGTATTATATAAAATTTTATTGTCTATCATATATATTGTATATATTTTATTGAGAAATAATGCTAAAAATATTTAAAATATCAACAAATCTACTCATATAAAAAATAATTAAATAATATCAATTCTAACAAAATGGTTCATCATTACAGAAACGAGAGATTAGTGTACACATAAATAGGACTTTTTAATTATTCTTATAAAAAAATAAAAAAGTGGCGCTCAAATAAATACATTACTACTATAAATTAGTATTAGTATTATTATTTATATATGGAAAAATAGCCTTTGCACTTATTATTTTTTTTATATCGAACAATTGGAATAAAATCTCCATTTCAATAATTGCATTCTCTCCTTTATATATATATTTTCGAGATAATTTTGTGTCGGTACATGCAAAAATTCTAAAACTTTTTTACTATTTTTTTGCAATAAACAGGTATTTGACACGCGGTTGCAACTATCCAGTGTTTGCACATAGTAGATTTATACAAAGTCTCGCCTGAGCAGTGATAATTTCTTTATGCTAGTCTTGGGCACAAGCGAGACTCTTACCGCTTGTCTCAGAATGTGTCTGTCATTTGTCAATTAGCAAATCATAACTATAGATTATTGGATCGTACCAAGCGAAACTAACTAATCAAATATTGTGATGTCTTTCGTACAAAAATTAAAACAATACAAAATATTTTCAAAATATTATCAGTAATAATCTTGTACATGATACTAGAATTATTTTTGCTTCTTGATATTTTCATAACACTTTTTCCACAAGAACATATTAAAGCCATTTGAATGGGACAATTCAATACTGCAAGACCTAATCATTGAGAAAATATAAGTAATGGTATGAATTGCATGCATCAAAGTATTGGAAAATAAAATTTGTATGCCTTGGATGCCTAATTGAAAATAACAATTAAGAAAAGGTTTATCTGAACTTGGCTTTTACAATATACTCGTGCATTTCTTACTTCTTATAATGATGTTTGATGCACCTCAACACTTTAAAGTAAATACTAGAAAGATAGAATTACATAATCCAAAATGTGTTAGAACATATTTTCATGGAAGTACTAAACTTGTTATTTTGTTCTCCATTCCACATTCGGAACAAAAATCAATAAACTCATTCTAAATATTGCAAAACATAAGAATCGAGCATTCAAGACATAATGAATTTTTTACTAATAAGTTCAGGGTTATTCAAGTACATACGATGGGAAGTTATATTAATGAAGAATTATAAATTGAATGAAAAATTTACAAAAGGACGTAATGTTTTAAAGTTGTGAAAAAATCACAAATTTTTTTGTATGTTCCTTAAATTGCAGAGGTGTATGACTTTAGTTTTAAGCTAGTAACATAAGATAACAACTACCACAAGAGTTTATTTTTTTCGCTGATAAATATAATTTTTTTCAAATGTATTTCGATTCACCTTAATATGGATTGTTGGGACTTATTTTTAGTTTAAATTATATTTAAATTTAAGTTAATAAAGGGGTTCCGTAAGACTTAATTTATTATTCCAATATCTTTTCTTTTATTTTTATTATTATTATTAAAAATTTTGGTACATTGTTTGAAAAGTTTTTTCGACTGCGAAACTATTAATATGATAGAGATGATTATATGGGCATCAAGAATCTTCCTTTCTCCGACTGATAGATATGAATTCAATTCAAATTTATTTTGGTTTTCAATTTAAAATACATTCTGAATTTAAATTAGGATATGAATTTTGTATTAATCATTCACATTATTTCTATATTTTATTTTTTTTTTATTACTGGATTTTTTATTAGGAAACTATTTCTTGATCTTGTATTTAACATCTTTATTATTTTAGAACTATTATTTCTTGATCTTGTATTTAACATCTTTATTATTAGGAAACTGCCAAATTTGTTTAGTTACGGGATAATTCCAAATAAGGTTTAATAATTATTCTAAAGTAGTAAAAGATGTCAAATACTATACTAGAAAAAAATCTTACCATTTTTCATTTTATATTTTTATAATATTATAATTTTTATTTTTTTATATTAATGTATGCGTTTATATTAAATTCAATTTGATTTTTAATAGATAGATCACAATCATAAAAATTATTGAATTAAAATTTCATTTAAATTGTATAGCTTATAATGTATTGAAAAATAATATTATATTAAATATATAAATCTAATAATATTGAAATATTATGAGTATTCTTCTATAAAATATTGCAAAAAAATATTATATATATACATATCAACTATATATAAATTTATAGATTATAATATAAAAAGAGAAATAAACTGTATAATTTTATTTGAATTTTTTTGCATATATAATTAGAGTATTTTAACTAGTATATATATTTGATAAATATTTTGAAGATAAAATTTACGAGATTAGGAGAAAATAAAATACTAATGGTACAAAAAATGTAATAATAATAATGAAATGGTACATAATTATAATAATTTAAGATTTAATTAATTTAAATATATTTATTTAAATATTTTATTTTAAATTATGATTATAGTTTATATAAAATTTTTAAAAATATATTATAATCAAACTGATTTAAATATTTAATTAAAAATATTTTAAAATATTAAATTATAAAATTTAAATATATGTTCAATATATATATACTAATATTCCATAAAATAAAATAAAAAATAAAATAAATAAATATTTAAAAAAATTGAAGGATATAATAAAATATAAATGTATAATTTAAATAAATTATATTTTTAATAAAATTTTACCCCCTCCAAATTCTCTTAAATTGGAGAGAGAATAAAAATTAATATAATTTGTCTCTCCTCCCTACTTTTATTTATATGATTTTTTTTGCATATATATAACATAATTATTTAACTAGTATATATATTTGATCAAAGATTATAAAAATAAAAATTTACAAGATTAAGAGAAAATAAAAGTAATGATTGTACAATAAATGTAATAATAATAATGAAATAGTATATAATTCTAATAAGTTCAGATTTTAGTTAATTTAAATATTTTTATTTAAATATTTTATTGTAGATTATCTATTTTATAAAAATTTTTAAAAATCTAATCTTATATATATATTTTAATTTACAGTAATCTCCACCACAAGTGTAAAGTAAAAATTTCTAGGGTTTTTGAATTTTATTTTATTTTTAAAAAATTTGATTGATTAAAGTATTTGATTGACTATTTTGTTTAATTTATAAGAGTTTTAATTTTTTTAATTAAATATTTATCTGAATTGCAACTGATATATACACAAAACATTTTAATATTAACTATAAATAAAAAAACTACTTTTAATCTAATTCATTTTAAAATTGAAAAACCCTAATTTGTTTTCACCAACGGTTGTCCCTCCCAAAAACTCTCCATCTTCTTCGTCCTTTGTCTCCGGATTTTGCCATCCGCCCCAGCTACATTGTACTCCACCGCTCATCCCACACCTCCCCATTCAAAATACTGGTAAAAATTATTTACTTTTTATTCTCTTGTTCTGTTTTTTAAAACTTTTTTTATTCACTTTAACATATATTTGTAGATCCCCATCGCTCCACCGCCATCGACCCATATCTTGCTGCGCGCCACTCCACCACTCATAATTTTGAAGCTCTGCTGAGTTACGGTAAGATTTATTTTTGTTATTTTCTTTGTTTTTTTTAATCTTAATCTACTTTCACACATATAAAAAAATTAAGTTTATACAAAATTTTTTTTTTGGCTCTTCTAGAGTCTCTGTTTTTAAAATCTATATTTTATTACTCTTTTTATTTTTTTTCTTTTTTAATCTTGCTCTACTTCCACACAAGTAAGAAAATTGAGTTTATACAATTTTTTTTTGCTCTTCTCATCGTTTGTTTTTCTTTAATTTTTTCTTCGTTCCTTTGAGCCTTTACGTGGCTATGCTAAAATGTGCCATTGTCCTTTCTAATCTGAAACTGTGATGTCCAACCCTGTTGTGCAGAACTGCGGATGAATGGTGTCCCATTGTGGATGTACGGAAGAAAGATATTCTTTTTTCGAAATATAAAATTATAATAAGAATTTAATTAAAATAGATTGAGTATCAATTTTCTGTAAATAACTGTTAGATTGAGTTTCAATTTTCTGTATATAGCTATTAAAAAAAAATTAATATGTAAATTATAATATTAACTTAAATATTTTTATAATATTAAATTTGTTTACGTTACATAA